GTGGACTTCAACTCCCAGAATTCCCCAGCCAGCATGTCCACTCATCTTAAAGTGGCCAAGTTTGGACAACACTGCTTTAAAGGGAAGCAGCATGCCTCTTTACCATATCCATCCATTTCAAGGCCATCCCTGCTATTGGGCATATTAATGCAGCTGGCTCAGGTTGTAGCTGTTGGGATGAGTGGTATAGCAACAAAATACTGGATTGCGCTCCAGAACTGGGTGTACCATGCAATTTGACCTTCATCTTTTAACTCGTTTATTGTAAACTTTGCATTAAGATGCCTCCTCTCTGCCTCCTCCTGGCTGCATTTGAGGGAGATCACAGGATCAAAAATGCCACCAGCAGTGACCATTACACCTGAGTACCATGCAAGTTCATTGGTTAGAAATACATGTGTGCATCTAAATCTGCTTATTTTTCTTCTTCGTTTCCCTTGCTTTTTTATTTTATCATCATGTATTAAATGATATGCCAGTATTCTAAATATGAAAAAACCTTGAGTATTTTGGCAAAGGCAATGCATAAAGATCACAGAAATAATAAATAAAACACAGACTAATTGGAAAGATACATGTAGGGCCCCATTCACTCCATGGATTGAAGACCTGATTATACTTGCCATCTATAAGCAGATTTCCTATAGACGTAGACTTTGTATGGACAAGTATAATGAAATATAGGACTGATTTATACAAAATACAGTAGGTATAAAAATAAGCATGATAGTTACATAAGTGTATTAGAAATAAATATATACATTCTTGCATAATATTTGCATTAGATAGGTATATATAGAATTGAAACTGTTACAGTATATTATTTTTTTCTTTTTCTGTTGTATTTTTTACCTTTTTTTAAAGCACTTGTGGGGTTTTTTTCTTTGACAATGTACCGTATTTTTCCGACTATAAGACAATACTTTTTTCTAAAATCCTTATGCTAAAAATTGAAGGGCGTCTTATGCAAGGAAGTAAGCCAAGGAGGGAACCGCGCAGTTGCAAAACTGCCCATACTTTGCCTCTGCAAACAGGCTTCCTCCAATCACGAGGACAATGTACCGTATTTTTCCGACTATAAGACAATACTTTTTTCTAAAATCCTTATGCTAAAAATTGAAGGGCGTCTTATGCAAGGAAGTAAGCCAAGGAGGGAACCGCGCAGTTGCAAAACTGCCCATACTTTGCCTCTGCAAACAGGCTTCCTCCTATTGCTAGCCTCCAGTCACGAGTGAAATAACTTGACTCTGCAAACAGGCTTCCTCCAATCACGAGCCTTATGTAACTGATGTCAGCTGATG